CCACAATCTCCAGCCAAGTTCTGTGTCCATGTTCTCTTGCTAGGTTCTCCAGCCAGGTTCTCCAGGTTCTCCAGCCAGGTTCTTTAGCCATGTTCTCTCGCTAGGTTCTCCAGCCAGGTTCGGTTTAGGATCTCCAGCCAGGTTCGGTTGCCAGGTTCTGTAGCCGAGTTCTTCAGCCCGGTTCTGTCTAGGTTCTCCAACCAAGTTCTGTAGCCAGGTTCTATAGCCGGGTTCTTCAGCCGGGTTCTGTCTAGGTTCTCCAACCAAGTTCTGTAGCCAGGTTCTGTCCAGGATCTTTTGCCATGGTCTCTCCAGGGAAGTTCTTCTGTCTCTAGGTTCTGTGTAGGTTCTGTCTTCTAAGTTCTGTGTAAGTTCTGTCTCCTAAGTTCTGTCTCTCGAATCTTCATCTGAGTTCTGTGTGTAGGTTCTAAGTTCTGTCGGGTTTGTTTTTTTTTTACCTTGTGTGGTGTTCACAGGGCTTCCTGGGCCTTTAGCTTGGTGTTCTGATTTGCTCTGCGCTGGGGGCTGCGTACCACAAGGCAGTGAGGAGCTACCAAAGGCCCTAAACAGGACACGGATGCTGTTACCTTGGTTATCGATAATAACGGTGAAAATGACAGCTATAATTTCTCATGTGTTATGCCAAACATTTCATCTGTCGGGACACACATTTTTATTGATTTCAGAGAGGGAAGGGAGAGGGAAGGGAGAGGGAGAGAGAGAGAGAAACATCAATGGTGAGAGAGAGTCACTGATCGGCTGCCTCCTGCACAGCCCCCATTGGGGATCGAACCCGCAACCCGAGCATGTGCCCTGACTGGGAATCAAACCGTGACCTCCTGGTTACTAGGTCGATGCTCAACCACTGAGCCGCGCTGGCTGGGTTCATCTCCTTTCATCCTCGCCGCAACCCTGTGACCTAGAAATTATCCTCCCCACTTTACAGATGAGGGAGTCAAGGCTGCTAGTCACTAGCATTAAGTAGCCCAAAGTCGGTCAGTGGCAAAGCCAAGGTTGGGAGGCAGGTTTGTCTGATACCAATGACGGCGGCACAGCCACCTGCCACGTGTGACTGTTCACAATGAAATTTATCAAAATTAAGGAAAATGTAAAATTCAGTTTCTCAGTCACACCAGCCACATCTCCAGTGCTCTGGCCAGGCATGGCTCACAGCTGCCGTGTTAGCCAACACAAACACCAGGCCGTCCCATCAGACAGAGCTGCTCTACAGCCCGGTAACTCTCAGGACCATGGAGAATGTTCTGGAAGGAAATGAAAATAGAGGCAGGAGGCCGGTTATCACAGGCCAGAGGTTCTCAGCGCCTGGCGGGGCCTTGCACAGGGTGGGAGCAGGGGGAGGAGCAGAGGAGCGGGGGGGATGTGAGAGGGACGGGAACACCGGCTTGGAGAACAGTGGGTGTGAGAGAGGGAGAGGGGCAGCGGGAGGTGACCCCCAGGCTTGAGGCAGGGGCGGGGCTGTTCATTCCGGTGGGGACTACGGACAAGGGCAGAGTCCAGGGTTGGAGTCCGCTTTGTAGTGGGAGGAGAAGTCTCTGACATAGAAGTCAGAGCAAGTTGAGACCCGGAAGGACTGTTTGTGGAGGAAACTAGGCCCAGGGAGCTTGCACGGCTTTTCCAAGTCCACATGGCTGATGAGGGGCGCTTCCGCTGGACCCCGGGCTCAGACGTGAGCTGTAAAGGGCTCCTCTGGCTCTTTTATTACATCTGCGTGACCCTCCCCCGCCTCAGCTCCCGAATAAACAGCTGTGGAGCTTTTCAGTACAAAACCTCTCATTTATTTAGCAGAGTTTGCCTCATTTCCTGATAGTGCCAGAGCCCTGGGCTCAACACGTGCTCCCAAAATGTTCATTGTTCACCAAAATGAATTGAGCAGCTGCAGGGTCCCGCGATGGCCAGCAGAGGGCAGCACCGGGCACACCCAAGCTCCCCTCCAGTTGAGGGGGAATGAATCTGCTCGCTTCTCTGCTGTAAACACCTTCTCACAGGCTGTGATCCATTGCTTAGCCAGCCTCCCAGCGTGGGTTCCAGAGCCCTCCTAGGAAGTACTGCCCTGGGCTAACCACTGTGAGTCCCCACGATACCTCTGTGAGGCGGTACTGGTGTCCTCATTCCCATTTGACAGATGAGAACACTGAGTCACAGAGCAGGGAGGTAACTCTCTCAGGGTCCTAGGGCTCGTTAGGGGCTGAGCTGGGATTGGAGTCTGCGGTTGAAAAAACAGAGATGAGCCCAGGATGCAGAGCTTGGCCCTTTCCCCTAGGAGCCGGGTGTACCCCGGGGCACGCCTGTGACCCCTGCAGCCGACCCCCCCCCCTCTGGGACTCCCCGGGCCATTAGCCCTCCTAAAGGGATTTCCCAGAGTGCATTATGACCACATCAGCAGCAAGTGCCTGCTTTCATCGCCCTTTCAGGTTGAAGAGAAGCTTCAGGAGGATTCCAGAAGGAAATTGCTTCAGCTCCAAGAAATGGGGAGCAGAGAGAGCCTCATTAAAGTCAATTTGGAAAGGGCAGTAGGTCAGGTAGGCGAGCGAGCTCCAGAGCCCCTCCGTGGCCCGTTCCCCAGGGTTGTCTGCGCCCAGTGGCTGGTGGGAAGAGTGAGGAGGAAGACGGCTGTGGTTTGCTCCTCCCATTGGCCTCCTGGGCCGCAGCTTCACGTGGCTCCTGCCTCCCCGTGGACGTCCCCAGGGCCGTTCCCTGCTGGGAGCCGCCCCCTCCGGGGGTTCGCTGTCCCCCGAGACCCTGGCCACAGCCACCCTTCAGTGCCCGCCCCCATTAACCAGCCGCCCGCTGTTCCCTCCTGGGAAGGGTCTGAGCCTCTTGACCCCCAACAGTGTTGCTAGTCCTTTCTCCCCGACATTTTCATCCAGACATTCACCACTCCCCTCCCTCCTCTGGGCCCCCAGCAGAGGTCCCGTCAGTGTCCACGAGGAACTGCCACTTTTCTTAAGAAAGTAAAGCTCATGGGAGACGGGGACGACACCAGGCAGGGTGGTGAGCAGGCTGCCCGGCTGGTCTGGGTGCCTGTTCTGCCTGGATGGCCCGTGGCCCCTCCCCTGACATGTGGCACCTGGTGAGGGCCAGAACATGCGAATGAGGCTTCATCAAAGGCTAAGCGAGAGCCAATGGGAAGCCAGAACAGGGGCACTGAGCCTCCGGAATATGGCCCCCCAAGGGCAGCCCACCGGGGGCTCCCCCTCAGGGCCCCCCTGGCTCAAGGGCACCCGAGAACGTTTAGCATGCACAAGTGTTTGTGCTTTTTTCCCTGGGAGGAAGGGTCCAGCATGCTGCTCCGTGGATTCTCAGAAGGGTCTCTGAACCCCAAAAAAGATGAAGAACCGCGACCCTAAGGGTCCTTCCATCCCACCCAGCCCAGTCCCTACGCCAGTGATGGCGAACCTTTTGAAAAACCCTAACTTAACTCTGGGGCCATGTCACATATAGAAATTTTTTTATATTTGCAACCATAGTAAAACAAAGACATATTTTTGGTATTTATTTTATATATTTAAGTGCCATTTAACAAAGAAAAATCAACCAAAACAATGAGTTCGCGTGTCACCTCTGACACGCGTGTCATAGGTTCGCCATCACTGCCCTGCGCCCTCCCCTCGGGCAGCGTCCGAGCCTGACCCGCAGTGTGGCCGGGCTTCGTCAGAGGCACACAGTTCATGATGGTGCTGACCACTGGGCAGATTTTAAAGCTCCTTAAACAAACGTCACCACCGTCACCCCAAGGTCACTTCTCCTGCAGGGACCGACCCCTTAGTGAGGGCAGAGAGCTTGCCCGTCTGGGCTTCCCCTGTGTGCCCGGGCTGCCCCTCCCCGCTCCTGCACGCTGCACGCCCAGCACCCCTATGCGAGGGCATCACCTGAGCCCCTTGCCCAAGTGCCAGGGTCCAGGTTATGACTCCAGGAAGCAGTCACCTGGGAGAGGACCCTGAGAGACACTGAGGTTCCTTCTGGTCTAGACTCAAGCGAGGAGGAGCCCCTCTGTCCCCGGACTCCCCCAGCCCAGCCCCTGTCTCCTGTTCTCTCTCTCTCTCTCTCAGATCCACACTCCCCCAGGCAAGTGATCCAGGATGGGAGAACCTGTCCCTCCACCCTGCACAGTCCTACAGGGTCCTCTGCTGGCGGTGGGGCCGTCACTCAGGGCCTCTCCACATAGCCTCCTCCTCCTCCCCTTGGCTGTGAAGCCAGAGGAGGGCATGGGGCGCCCAGGCACCCGGTCGCTGCTGCAGGCCGCCCGCCCGCAGGGATGGCCTCAGGAGCGGCTCACTCCGCGGCCTGGCTCCCAGAGCTGCGTGGTGCGCAGGGCACGCCTGTGTGCCTGTGTCTCCGGCCGCTGACCTTCAGGCTGATTCAGCGGCCCTTCCGCCCCTTCAGGACTCTGTCTTAGGGTCCTCGATGGCCAAACACCCAGGCCCAGGGCCACCACGCTGGGAAATTCCGATAAACACGGGCTCCTTTGCTTCTGCCTTCGCATGGAACCTGGGGCCCCTTGAACTTGCAGCTCCGTGAGCCCTGATTTCATGTAACTGCTGTTTCATCAGCCGTCATCGGAAAGCGCCAGCCCCAAGGAGGCCCTCGAGAGCGGCTGGACCGAGCAGAGGCCCCTGTTGGACAGATGTCTCTGTTCACAGCATTCAGTGAGCGTTCACTGGGTGCCTGCTCTGTGCCAGGCCCTGTGCCAGTCGCCGGGGACACAGAGAGGAACACGATACCCAGGGTCTTCGGGGCGCGAAATGGCAGGAGGGAGTGGTTCCCTCGGTCCCCAGGCACCTTGCTGTGACAGTTTCCTGGGGCTGACAGCCTCCATATTTATTTCACGGTCTGGGGCCGGCTTAGCAATCAGGGCTGAGCGCTCCCCCAGGCTTCCCACTGCATAATCGGCAGCAAGTGGCTCTTCTGAGTCAGGCAGGCAGGCCCAGGGAGTAATTAAAACCGGCTGCTCCCTCCCTCCTGTGGGCACTGCCCCTTCCAGTGAGCGGTGGAGAGCTTAATACCATGGCCTGGCCATCCAAGGCGTTCAGGCCCCCCTAACTAACTGATTTCTCCTGGCCCCCACGGCTGGCCAGCTGCAGCTGCCCCCCCTGACTCAGTTGCCTTCTCCTTGTGCTGCAGCTGGAGCATTTCAGGAGCCAGGTCATCAGGGCCACCTACGGGCGAGCCAGGCCGTTCCAGGACAAGCCCGTCACCGACCAACAGGTTCGTCGGCCCTTCGCGCTTCCTTCCCCGGGACCTGGGACTGCAGGCGCTGGGAGCATATGTTCCCGGGTTTTGTTGGTGGCACACATTGTTCACACTGCTGCCGCACCATCAAGATTTGTTTAGATTTCATGGGGTTTCCTGGCTTTCCCAGTGAAACGCCCTTGAAATGTTTCTGTGAACGTCAAACCAAATCGCTCAGGGTGACTCTGGTCGCCAGATGCGCAGGGGTAACCCTGTAGCACCCTCGTTAGCATCATGAGAAAGGGCTGCCTCACTCAGACAACGCGTTCCACATCCCATCCCCGCCTGTCCCTTCTGGAGAGGGAGAGGTGAGGACGGACTTCTGGCTGCCGGGGGCCTTGTTCGTTCCCAGCGATTCTCCCCCACGCTCCGTGTTGGCGGCTCTCGTTGGCCCCAGAACAACCCGACCCTCAGCATCAGGTTGTATTATTAGTCGTTCCTAAGGGCAGAAAAATCTAGAACAAGTGAATGGCAACAATACAGGCCTTGGGATCTTCAAAACCGTCTCGGATCCCAGGCAACGCGTCCTGGTGATAGCGCCGATGGCGACCTCCAGAGCCATGGCCCACGCCTGGCAGGACGGCCCTCACCACCTGTAGAGATGGGGTGGTGCTCCCAGCTCCCTCCTCCCGGGCCCCCCTTGTGTTTTAAATCTTTTTTTTTTTGTCACCAGTTAATAGAGAAGATCGTCCAGGTCGCGGAGGACAGCGCCAGCCTTCAGCAGAAAAAGTGGAGCCTGCAGAAGGAGAGCCAGCTCACCCACTCCAAGCAGGAGGCGCTGGCGGACAGCATCGAGAGGCTGCGGGCAGCGCTGGACAGCTGCCAGGTGGCCCTGCCTCCCACAGTGTCCCCTCTGCCGGAACCCGTGCCGCTGGCGTGGGAGCCTGCCCGGCCCCCGTGGAGCAGGTCGGGCCGGGTGCCCTGCTGCTGTGGCACCTTTCCTCTCCTGGGAGGAACGCGTCCGAGAGCAGAGGGCAGAGGACCTCAGAGAATGCCCCCGGGCGGGATTGGGGGGCAGGAAGAGAAGAGATGCCTGCACTCTGAGTACTTCCGCGGGAGGTCACGGACCCCAGTGGGCAGTAAAAGGGCCCCGTGTTATCTCCAGAGAAATCAGAAGAACAGGCCCGCCCTTTAGCTGCTCTTCCTTCGCCCCGCCACGGAAAGGCCTGTTTGTAGCCCTGGTGCCTCACCGGGGGTGGGGGACCTTCTCTCTGCCCAGGGCCATTGGGATACTTATAACATCATTCCCGGGCCGTACAAAACCACCAACTTAAAAACCAGCCTGCTATGTTTGGTCAAACCATCAACTCAGCCCTAATGCCTTGGTAGGGCCAGACCAAACGATTTCTCCGGCCCCTGCCTTAGCCTGTGGAGGGGGCGGGCCCATGGGGCCTGGCCCAGCCCCTGGGGCCCCACTCGGGGAGAAGGCAACTGCCTGTGTCTCTGGAAATCAGCTGCTACTGTTTGGGGAGTTTGTGCAAATGTCAGCGTGTCAGCTCTTTCAAATCAGGAAACGGCACTTTCTGACCAGCTTATGTTTTTTTGGTTGATTTTTCTTTGTTAAATGGCATTTAAATGTATAAAATAAATATAAAAATATAAATCTTTAAAAATAGAGAAATTCAGTTCTCATTTCAGCCTATTGTCCTTGGCAATTTGGCTTTGAATTTGAATAGACCCAAGTGGGGTTTCTTTGACCACCAGAAGTCCAAGTTAGAGTGCAAACAAAATAATACCCCCCGCCCTAACCGTTTTGGCCTAGTGGGTAGAGTGTCGGCCTGCGGACTGAAGGGTCCCGGATTCGATTCCGGCCCCACCAAAAAAATTAAGCAACTAAAACCGGACGGGGCCATCCCCAGGCGCTGACATGGGGCCCTGATGCTTCATGGCAAAGTCAAGACGTTCTTCACAGGTGGTGTCGGGTCGGGTATCTGGGATCCTCGCCATCCTGTCTTTCCAGGCGGCCCCTCACGATCCGTGTCTCTCTGCAGGCGGCCCCTCATGATCCGTGTCTCTCTGCAGGCGGCCCCTCATGATCCGTGTCTCTCTGCAGGCGTGCATGAAGGTGTCTTGCTGCAGCACCGACCTGAAGAAGGAGGTGGAGCTCCTCCAGTACCTGCAGGTGAGCCCACCTGTGTCCGGGCTCCAGAAGGCGGCGCTGGACATCGTGCGCCTGTCACAGTCCTGGCTGGAGGACACCGAAGGCCTCCTCCGGGACGTGGGGATCCAGCTGCCCGGCTCCGACAAAGGTGACCGGACCTTTTTTCTCACATAGCTGCATGTCTCTACAATGTTGTGCTGAATCCTATCACGAAGGGACATATGTTGAGGAAGGCTTCTTGGGCGTGTGGCCAGGTACCCCTGCTCCAGACTCACCTTGCTTCTCCCCTTGAGAGGAAATTTGCCTTAAAGAGAGAGAGAGAGAGAGAGAAAGAGAGAGAGAGAAACATGAGACTTGATTACTGAAGAGAAAATGAGACATGACAAAGGCCAAAGGATAATTAAATCAAAATTGTACTCAATGTTATCTCTCAGCAGTAAGATATATTGTGAAATATATTTTTATATTTACTGTTAAATATGCCTTTAATAGACCTTTTTTAGGCGTAGTTTTGGTTCACAGCAAAACTTAGAGAAAAGTGCAGGGATGTCCCATCTGCCCGCTGCCCCTGCCCCTGCACGGCTTCCCCGGGTATCAACACCCTCCAGCAGAGGAGCATTTCCTACCATTGACGGCCCTACATGGCGCGTCCTCGTGGCCCAGAGTCCGTGGTCTACATGAGGGTTCGCTCTTGGTGTAGTCCGTTCTGTGGGTTGGGACAGCTTCAGGAGGACAGGCACCTGCCACTGCACATCCGACAGATATTCTCACTGCCGTGCAAACCCTCTTTGTTCTGCCTGTTTGTTCATCCCTCCCCCGCCCCCAGCCTCTGGCAGCCACTGGTCATCCTACTGTCTCCATAGTTTTGCCTTTTCCAGAAGGTCAGAGAGTTGGAATCGTACTGTGTGTGTATAGCGTTTTCAGGCCGGCGGCTTTCACTTCGTCATAAGCTTTACATTTCCTCCATGTCTTTCATGGCTCCGTGGCTCATGTCGTCTTAGTGCTGAGTGGTGTTCCGTGGTCGGAAGGTCCCACAGCTGTTCCTTCTCTATGGAGGGAGGGACACCCTGCTGGCGCCCGCGTTTTGGTGATTGTGAGTGAAGCTGCCCTAAACGTCCGTCGGCAGGGTTTGGTGTAGAGTAAGCTGTCAGCTCCCTGGGAGAATGATCAAGCCGCGGGACCGCTGGGTTGTGTGGGAAGAGTGTAGTTTTGAAGGAAACCACCAAACTTGGAGACGGTCATCAATGCCCTGGAAGGTGGCAGCGCGGAGCAGCAGTGAGGAGGTGGTCACCAGCGATGACGGTGGCTAGCACTGCAGCGGGGGCGGGGATGGAGAAAGAGAGAAGTTTATTTGGGGGTCACCATTCTTTATCCTGTCCTTACAGACCCACAGTGCACATTAGTGGAGAAGAGATCTGTTTAATATTGCTCGGCCTCCAGGCTGTGCCATTAGCTTGGGCAGGGACAGAGCGACGTGTTTGCGTTCTCTGAGTGAGCCGCATCCGATGCCCGCCCCGAGCCAGGCCCAGGGAAAGCCCCACACGCATCCCAGCAGGATGGTTCCCAGTCTGCACTCTGGAGACCAGCCCGCTTTGGCTCTCCACTGCGCCCTTGCCAGCTGTGTGAGAGTCACCTGACTCCTCTGTGCCTCGGGTTGCCTGTTTATAAAACAGGGATAAAATCTCAAAAGGTTGTTGTGAGGGTTAAACGATGTGATGAGCACACACAGGGCCGGGCCTGGCTCACGGAGCCTTAATAAATGTGACCTGCCATCGCCGTCAAATACTCATGGACTTAATGCGGCCACCAGATGGGTGGGAGCAGAGGCCGTACAGCCCCATCTACTCACACCGAGGATTCTGTGCCCGCAGCCCCGCCCCATCTCCACTTGGCAGCAGATGGGGTTTTCTTAGCCCTGAGCGCTCCGTTGGGCTGAACGCAGAGAGCACTTTCCAGGCCCCCTTCCTGGAGAGATGACAATGGGCCGAGTGTCCCAGCTGCCTCTTGGCAAAGCCGGGACTCAGTCCGGGTCCCTCTGATCTCAGAGCCCCCGCTCTGCACCACCATGCCACCTGCCTTTTAGAATGCTGTCCTAAGAGACAAAACGGACCTCACAAGCCAGGTTTGTAAATCCTGAAACAAATTCCCCGGGGGGAATCCCGGGAGAGGGAAGCCCCTGGCATTCTTGGGCGATGTGGTAAGAGGCCCAGAGGTTGGAGCTGCTACGAAAGATCTGATGGGCGGAGGGTGGGCCGTGTGGTCCCGCTGGGGAGATAGGAAACATCTAAGGAGGAACCTTGAAATTTCGTTCCCCACGCCTCTCACCTGGTTTCTCGGCGCCTCTTGATAAGGGAAAGGACAGACTCGACATGTTTCTCGGCCAGCGCCGTGTTTGTGTCTCCTCCTGCAAGGCTTGGTCACAAACAGAAGGCCTCCCACGTGCGCAGGAGTCACCCTTTCTCTGATATCCGAGCTATGCGGTATTTTTAAGTGAAAAAAAGCAAGTTGTAATACAATATGCTCAGTGTACTCCCATTTTTTGTTTTGTTTTTTGTCAATATCTAATCAAAAGAAAAATCTGGGGAAAAAGACAAACCTGTGGAGAGTATTATCCCAGCGTTTATGTAGGGCCTTTACTTTCCCTCGTTCCATATTATTTATTGTGCACCTACTGTGCGCCAGCCACTGAAGATACAGCAGTGCGCTTTCCAGAGGCGGATTTCAGTAATGTTTGATTTCTGTAATAAGCACATGCAACTTTTGTAACCAGAACTATCAGGAAGAATTGCTCCTTCTCCCAAAGAGAGAAATCTCGTTTTGATCACTGTTCATCGTTGAATCTAGAAACATAATCACTCACCCTGTCTTCCCTTCAACCTCCTTGACTCCCTCCTGTCCTTAACCCTCTCTGGGTCCTACTCAGGATTTGATCCTTCCCCTGGGGTCCCTCGGTCACAGGTTGTAGCTGAGCACAATCCCAGCCCCAGCCCAATTTAACCAGCGCAAATCTAGGCGCGCCCCCGGTTCTTATAGCCCAAGCCAACACCACCCAGGCAGCCTCACCTCTGTGCCGTCTAGATCTCCTCCCAGCACACCTCTCCCCACACACGCTTCCCCTGAACTGACCCAGCCCCTTACTCTGGAGCCTCCGGTCTCTTTAAAAGAGAAAGACAGGCTTGGGTCTGAATTCTGATCCCACCTCTGACCAGACCTTGCTGAGCCTCCGTGTTTCGCCTGTAAATTCAAACACACTTCCTTGCTGGGTTGCTTGTAATGATGCGAAGATATATGTACACTCCTGGCTCGGTGCCTGGCACACAGCAGGTGCTTCATACCTGGTAGCTAGTACATTATTCTCTTCCACGATGGAAGTTCTCAGAAAGTTCCATGGACGGAGATCAGGGCTTCCGCACAAGCGTGTTCAGTTCCACATCCCCCTTCCTCCCTGTACCCGCCATTTCTCCCTTCCCTCCACCTTCCCCACCGTGTCCTCCTTCCCTGTGTCCCCCCCACTCCCCCAGAGAACTGTGTGCACGGCCCTGAACTGTGACCTCTGTCTTTGGCACCTTCAGCCTTTCTTTCTTTCACTCCTTCTCTTTACCCTCGAGCATGCCCTTCCAGGTGGTAATTTCTCGCTGGAAGCCCCTGCCTCTTCGGCTCCCTTTCTGCTACCCGCACTCCTGTCTCGCCGATGACCTTGAAGAAGTGTGGCACACCCGCTGTCTTCACTGCCCGCATCCTGCTTTGTCTTTGCCTCTTGGCTTTGCCCCTGCTGAGTAACCAACCGCCATGGAACCCTCCCACCCCGGCCGGCCCACCATCCTCCCCCGACCCCCGTTCTCTCTGGCCTACCCAACACTCTTGGTTCTCTATCTCAAAACCCTCTCACTCTGGGCCCTCCCGGGCCTGGCACACCTGCCTCTCTCCTGATGGTCTTGGTTTGTTCTGAGCAGCCCCTTTCTCCAATCCTGTCCCTACCAGGTGTTTCCTCCAGGGCATGCATTGGTCCTCCTCTCTCACCTCCATTCTCACGGAGAAACTGAAAAACTCTCCGCTCCGCATGCTTCCTCAGCCACTCCAGGCAGAGATGGCCAGATGGGGCCCCTGGCCGGGGCCATGTCCACCAGGAGGCCCATGAAGACCCTGGATGAGCTGGGCTGGCCTGGCCCACTGAGCATGCCCAGCTCTCTGCTGACCACCTCTCCTTAGGGTCCTTCCAGCACCATGTTCTCCTTCAGGCTCTGGACCTTGTCCCTCAGCCTGAGCCGTCAGCTCACGGCTTTGCACACGGTGGGTACTTAGTCAACAGGTAATCCGTGGGCGGCTTTTCATCTGCCACCTCCAGAGAGAAACGTGCTCGGGGCCCGTCCAAGCGGATGAGCCATTTCGGAAGCACGAGTTTGGGTGGCAGCTCACGTCTTCCTGGTGCTGCCCTTGCCCACCTGCCGGCAAGCTCTGCTGAGGTGCTGTTTGGAAAGCAAAGGAGGTGAACTGAGTAGATACTTACCTTCTTCTCGCTTCTCTTTTCAAGGGTTGTCTCTGTATCTGAAGCATCTTCTGGAACATTATAAAAAAGTCACGAGCCGGACCCAGGAACTTCAGGTAACTTCCAGCTTCTGGAAAGTTCAGGCCGGCGCCTCCTTGGCTTTTACTCAGCGCTGTGCATGTTAACCCTGTTCACCAGTTAGCTGCTCAGTCCACACACACACACGCACACACACACCCCCACCACCAGGTGAACCCGTATCTCCATCTGCACGTGAAGGGATTCAGGCCGGCTGGCTGGGATGGTCCAGGACGGCAAGGGCAGGATGCTTGCTACCCTCCATCAAAACCCAGAAAGGCTTCAAAGCCATCAGATCTTGAACGTTATGCTTATCAAAGGCAGGGGAAGAGGTGTAGCTGGCCAGAGTCCAGGCAGCAGAATTACCAAAAGTTACATACTGTCAACATGTTAGAGGCAACGTGATCCTCGGGGATTGTATGGCCCTGACGGTCATCGCCATAATAACGCCGTGTGGTAAACACCCACACCACGTGAGAGGCCTCCCACAGTCACTGCCTACTGCCTGCAGGCCGCCGCCAGGCGTCCGCTGACCCTGATGGGCTTGCTCCCCGTCTGTGCTGGCCTGCCCTCGGCCGGTCCAGGCTGGCCTCAGCCGGAGCAGCTCTGCTTTGCTTGGTGTGTCCTAGCTCCTCCAGCAGGCGGCCCAAGCGTGCGCTCATGGTTAGCAGAGGCGAGAGAGGCGAGAGAGAAGCAGGGCCGGTCATGGAGAGCTCCGCAATCATGCTCTGTTTGTGTTACGCCTGTTATATCCCACTAGTAGCCCTGCACACGAATCCGTGCGCCAGTAGGTTGCTGCCACCTTCCTGTAGCTCCCCCTCCCTCTGTGTCCCCCCTCATAGCTTGCTGCCAGCCCGCTTGTACCTTGCGGGCCCACCCTCCTGCTGATCCGTGATCTGGTCTTGACATGCTTGGTCGTTACGCCTCAGGGTGTAAAGGCTAATTAGCATATTCCTCTCTTATTATATAGGATTGGCCAAAGCAAGTCACATGGCTGAGTTCAGTGTCACTGGGCAGGATAGAGGTGGACCCTGAAAGTCACGTAGCCAAAGACACAGGAGGGTGGAGTGTTGGGACCACCACTGTGGTCAGTCATGGGCACCATCTCCTCCAGGGGTCGCAAACTTTCCCAGTCAAGGGCCACGTGGTAAATAGAGCTTCGCAGGTGGCTTGGCACGTCCCACAGTCTCTGCCACCCCTGTTCGATGCTACTGCTGTAGAGCAAAGACGCCACAGAAAACACGTCAATGCATGCGCATGATGGGCACGACCCTCTTCTAATAAAACTTTATTTACAAAAACAGGTGGTGGACCACAGTAGGCCTACAGACCGCAGTTCATCAACGCCAGATCTAGTCCATTCTCCTTATGTTACAGATGTGGACATTGAAGTGACTGTTTCAATGTCACACAGTTAGTTGGTGGAAGAATCAAGACAAAATTTCAGGCCTTCTGGCCCTAGCTCCCTGCTTTTTCTGACACTCAGCAAATTATAGTTAATGACTCTGGCTACCATTTACTCTGCACCTACTATATGCTTAAAGCTTTCCATCACTACCTCAGTTAATCCTTAAAACACTATTATTGACCTCATCTTCTACATGAAGAAGCACCTAGAAAAAACTAGAACTAAGATTCTATCTAGATTCTGAGTCTGGGCTCCTAACCACGGTACTCTTCTGCTTTCCTACCAGTAACCAGGCTAAGCATAGATTTTCCTTGTGTTTAAGAAAGTTTCGCATAAAGCTTTGTCCCTCCCCACCAAGGTAAACGGCTTGTAAAAAAAAAAAAAAAAAAAACCATGGAAAAGACTGCTGCCCTAAGGCCTGTCCCCCATTAGCTTCAGTGTCCTTTCTCTCATTTCAGAACAAGATCAGCAGTTCTGAGGAAACTCAGAAGTCTTTGCTGCAAGAGACACTGCGGGAGCATCTGGCAGAGAAGGAGAAGCTGAGCAAAGAGAAGCAACAGCAAGAGGAGAAGCTGAGGGCCAGAGTCAAGTGGCTGATGGAAGAGAAGGCGGTAAGGTCCCTGTCATTTATTTTTTTTCTACTGAAAATGGAGGCAAGGGCCTTTTCTATGACAAATTAAGAGCGTGTCCTTAGATGGAGAAATCTCAGCAAGTCCCCGTTTGGTGTTATGGAACGAAATTACTCCAAGGAGTGAGTGATGTTGGAGGAGTTAACATGGAGCTTGAATTCTGAAACTCAGAGCAAAACCAACTTGAAAAGGAAAGCTTATTGACATTTCTAGAACTGGTAGCTCATTTGTTGAAATGCTGCAGATGATTTTACCACCGGAGTTGTCATCGCAGGTCCTGGGTTGTTCTAAGTATTTGCAAGACCAACGTCCTGTCATTTCAGTCTTTTGCTTTCTCCTTATACATATTGATTCCAGTCTTTTGCTCTTCCCTTACACTTACCGGGGAAAACGAACGACCAAAATAGCTGCTCGCTTTTCTAAGAAACCAAGCCAAGTACTAGAGGACACTTTACAGGGGCACCTCTCAAGCTCCAAGGTGCCTGAGGGTCCACCTGGGGCTCTTGTTAAAGCGCCGATCCTGACTCAGCAGGCCCGGGGTGTGGCCGGGCACCCGCATGTCTAACAAGCTCCCGGCTGATGCGGCCGGCACAGGTCTGCAGACCACATTTCCAGCGACAGCCTCCGAGGAAGCTTTTCCCACAATTGCCTGATGAGAACCGCCTGGACACTGGTTAAAACGACAGGTCCTGGGCCCAGCCCTGACCCCCGGAATTAGAACCCCCGGAGACGGCCAGGAAATGGCACTGAAGAAGCCCAGCCTTGTCTCTTTTTGGTATTTAGGGACCACCACGATTTTAACCACCTCGTGGCCATCATCTTGGACCAGTGGCTTGTGACTTCGGCTGCCCTTTTGTCATTCGGGAGATTAAAACATACAAATGCTCTGTCCCTCTCCCCCGCCCCAGGTTCTGCTCTCCCTGGGGTGAGGGTGTGGCTCCTGCACTAGCATTTGTCAGCTCTCCAGGTGACTCTCCTCCCAGCCCCTCCAGACAGCAGCACCAGATCCCCTGGGCCCCAGCCCTTCCCCAGCACCTCCTTTCTTCCCCAGAGGACTGCCCTGCCACTTCCTCCGTCTTTCACTCGCCAGAGCTCCATGACCCCTGGCTTAGTCTGTTCTCGGTCACACGCCCCCCTCTCTAGGCCCCTCCAGGAGGCAGAGACCTCTGCCTGTTTCATTTCATCCTCCAGTTCGTGCCGTCTCCTCAGATCTCTCCTCCTTCTTTCTCTTCTTCTCTTTCTCTGTCCTTCTGCCACATGGAGGCAATATTAGCGATAGACTTAAACCAAAGCGGACCATTTTGAAGGACAGTTAGATATGCAAACAGCCAGCGTCCGTCACCAGAGAGGAAGCTAAAACCAGAAAAAGGGAAGTCTCCAGCACCTTCACAGGACCCTCTGCCACGTCCTCACTCCCCCTGATTAACTCTGCCCTTTCCAAATGTCTGCTTTGGTTTTCACTTTGGGTTTAGCTTTTTCTCTGTGGGTGCACGGTGACCCCCACCACGTTCCACACTGCCCCGGCACCAGCCTGGGCCTCCCAAACACCCACTTATAACATCGACCCTGACAGAGGCAGGGGTTCAAGGGCTGGCTTCAAACCCCTTTTAAATAAAGCCAATGTTGGGGCCCACCACCCGCTGCAAGGGGAAGCAGCCGGGGCCCACGCAGATAGACAGAGACACTGTGCCAGGCCACTGCTGTCCCGTCCATGGTCATCGCTCCCCAGACACTTAGCGTTGATCGGCTTGGCCCGAGGCACTCATCGAAAAGTGCTGTCTCAGACTTCAGCACCAGGTGCCCCGATTTTAAACGCACCTTTTTCATGCCGCATGACGCTGTCCCCCCACCTGCTCTGAAAGCACGTGTGTCAGAATTCATTCATTAAGCTTCTCATGGACCCTGGCTTGTTTGAGGGCTCTGTTTCAATGGTGAGAAATTTTAGGCGCCTTTACTGAGCTACCATTCTTTGGTGTTATCATCTGTTCACAACCCTCACCTGATTTCTGTACGCACTAATGGCTTAGATCCGGTCGGCAAGCTTTCTCCACAAAGAGCCAGATGGCATAGACTTGGAGTTTTTGCAGGTCATGCGGTCTCTGCCGTGGCTGCTTAGCTCTATCATTGGACTGCAAAGGCAGTCATAGGCAATCTACAATGAGCAAGGAGGTGTTCCAATAAAACTTTACTTACAAAAAGCAGGCAGAGGGCCAGATTTGGCCCATAGACCATAGTTTGCTAGCCATGGTTTAGAACCGCAGGCTCTAGAGCAGCAGTTCTCAACCTGTGGGTCGCGACCCCTTTGGGGGTCGAACGACCCTTTCACAGGGGTCACCTAAGACCATCGGAAAACACATATATAATTACATATTGTTTTTGTGATGAATCACTATGCTTTAATTATGTTCCATTTGTAACAATGAAATTGGGGGTCACCATAGCATGAGGAACTGTGTTAAAGGGTCGCGGCGTTAGGAAGGTTGAGAACCACTGCTCTAGAGTCAAATGGACCAGGCTTGAATCCCTGCTCATGTGGTTAACTGGCAAACCGGGCAGATTCCTTCATCTCGCTTTCCTCTTTCCTCCTCTGCAAAGCAGAGATGACGGGAGAAATGACAGCCCTTTTAATGAATGGCTGGCACGTGCCCAGCGTTTCATGTTTCTCATCTCATCTGCTCGCATCCACCCAATGCAGGAAGCACCATTGCTCTCCCCACTGTACAGACAGGGAAACTGAGGCTCCTGTAGCTTCTCATGTGCCCAAGGTCACACACCCAGGAGCGCTGCCGGTCAGAGCCCCAGGTTCTACCGCTGGCCTGGCACAGAGTCAGATTCCTGCCATGGTAACCAGGACTGTTAAACAACGGTCATTGACTTGCAGGCTTTGGAGGGGAAGATGACTGAAGAGAAAAACAGAGCGAAAGAAGCATTAGAGGAAGAACAGAGGAAAGTCCGAGAGCTGCAGGAGCGCTTAAGCCACCAGAGGAAGGTATACAGCTCGAGGAGACAGAGTCTGCGTGGGCCCCCATCCAGGCCGTGAATGAGCAAGGGCTGGCCCCGGGCCCTGATCGGGGCCTGCCGCCTCCAGTCCCCGGCTCTCCGCGGCCAGGCCACCGCCTCCGTGCGGTGTTGTGAGTTGTGGAGCCCTCACCAACGTGGTGCCTGGCACCGAGGCCAGATCCCTGCCATGGTAACCAGGTCTGTTAAACAGCGCCCATTGGCTTTCAGGCTTTGGAGGAAAGCTTTATGCAAGAGAAGAGCCGAGTGAAGGAAGCGCTGGAGGAAGAACAGAGGAGAGTCCACGAGCTGGAGAACCGCCTGACCCACCAGAAGGAGGTAGGCAGCTCGGGGAGACAGCTCACTGCAGCCCTGACCCGCCCGAGGGTCGTGGAAGTACGTTCAGAAGCACAGATGATGGTGGGTGGAGTGGGGTGCGACTCTCCCAGAGTGATTCGTCCTCAGGAGGGCTCAGCTGCTTTGGGAAGAGGCCTGGGGGACTCTAGGAGAGAACCATAGAGTCGTAGTCTCCACGGCCAGTTGGGAAGTTGTACACAGCATAAAATACAGCCCCAGGTTGGGCTTGGGAGAGACGTTGGGACGGGGACGTGGGCATCTACTGTGTGGAGATTTGGAAGCCAAAGCCCAGAGCTGGAGGAATCACGGAGCTCTGGGACTTCGGGGCTGGGTGGATCCTTGAGCAACTTCCTAACGTCGCCCAGCCTCCCTCTCCACCACCAGGGAATCACCCAGCCGAGGGCAGCCCACCGGGATCGGCAAGTTCCATTATTAATGGGATTCTCCTTATCGGGAGGCTGCCTGGCACCGAAATAACTCAGGCCTGGCTCCCTGCCCTCCTGCTGCCTACCGAGGCCTGCATGCAGGTGGCTCTTTCCTCGGTGCAGGGTTCAGATCCCCGCCCACCGCCAACAAACTGCGCGGCCCTGGGGCTCGCACCCACTTCCTCTTCCTCGGTTTCCTCATCTAGGAAATGGGGCGCTGACTTCTCTGACGGTGTTCCTGCGAGAGTGGCAAGTGCTGGCCGGGGGCCCTGGCCTGTAAGACCACCCTAGCCCTTGAGCTGGCGTCATTATTCTTAGCATCATCAGAATGAGTTTCTCTGGCACATTACTGGTCATCGATTTGCAGGTTTTGGAGAGCAGCGTGGCCCATGAGAAGAAAGTAAAGGAGGCCTTAGAGACCGAAAAGAGGAGAGTGCAAGATCTGGAGAACCACCTGACCCAGCAGAAGGAGGTACGGGAGCAGGCGCCAGGGGCTGCGGCAGCCGGGAGGAGCCTGAAGCCGGGCGCGAGGCTGTTTCTGTGCCTGCCAGCGTGTGTGGGCACGTGGGCAGATGCGGGCAGCGCCAGCCAAAGCGGCCCATGTCACCTGACACAGCTTCCCAGCTGCATGACCTGGGGCAGACCACTTAACCCTGTGCCTGTTTCCGCATCAGTGAAACGGGAGCGGTGACACGCCTGCCTCAGGTTCAGTGAGTTCATAGACGTGAAGTACTTGGAACCGCGTGTCACACACAGTGACTACCCAGGGAAGGAGAGGATGACCCCGGGGTGGAGTCGGGGTCAGGCCCTCAGCCAGCTCCCCCTCCTCCTCACCGAAAGGCATTTATGATGCAGTCCAGCAGGGATGCGGGAGGAATACACTCCAACTCGCAGTCAGGAACATAACGAGCTCATGCGGTGGTCACAGCAATGACCGGGGCTCAGTGCCTTCTGGAGTGGGTAGGAAGGAGAGGGGGATCATGGGGCGGGGGATGTCTGAGCGCCAGGCCCAGCAGAGCTGGGGACACCCACACCCAGCCTCCCCTG